AGCAGCTTTGGGTGGTGGTGGTGGTGGAGGCAGCGCTCCTCTTAGGCGCGCCGCTGGGGCTATTGGCCCTGTCTCAGCGCCCCCTCCATAACTTTGGACATTTCAGGCCTGCCAAGGTCTGTGGTCCTTGCAACCTTGGGGGCTCTGTGCTGGTCGGTCCACCTGTAGAGTGACTGCCTAATTGAAAACATTTCTGATTCTGCAGGGGGGTCCATGTGACACAGTGGCCTCTCAGCTCAGTCTCTCTGTGCCTGGGAAAGTTTGTCCACATTTCAGGGAAATTGTAAGGGTAAGGGTCATGTGGGGTGGCCTGGGTGCTGTGGCCACTTTGACACATGGTAGGGTAGGAGGTAAGGAGCTTTGGTAGCGTAGTGGTTACGAATTGGGCTGCGAACCTTCGGGTCAGCAGTTCGAAACTACCAGCTGTTCCGCGGGAGAAAGGTGAGGCTTTCTGCCCCCGTAAAGATTTACAGCCTCGGAAACCCTGTACAGGGTCGCTATGAGTCGGAACCGACTCCACGGCACATAACAACAACAACAGGGTAGGAGGTTAGGCTTTTGGGAGGAATTCTGGGTATGACCTCAGACTGTGACCTTTGTGCCTGAAGCCCAGCCAGCTCCTGGGTGGAGGCTTCTGGGAGGGTCATTGATCACAGGTTACTGAGTGGAGGCAAAAACGTTGGCTTGGGTGTCTAGAGATTTGCATTCCAGGTTCGGCACAATTGGAGGCCCTCAGATAGGAGCCATCTTGGCTTTGCAGCCTCCTCTTCTGTAGAGGATAGAGGGGGCTAGATTAAATGACCCAGAAGAAACCCCTGTAGCTCCTAAACCTGGGACTCTTGTTGTGTGCCATTCAAGATGGTTTGTACTCATAGCAACCCTGTATAGGTGTTTGTTGTTGTTAAGTGCCACTGAGTCGGTTCCAAACAACAATGAACCCTGTATATGGTTCGAGTAGCAACTGGTGAGCTTGAATTGCTGACTTTGGGGTTCAAACTGACTTTGCAGTCCAGTGCATTAACTCCCAGCGCCACACCAGGAGTCCTTGTATAGCTGTGACAGGGTTGAAATTCACTTCCTGGATGATAAATATTTCTGGACTAAATTCATGCTGGTGAGGAACTAAGGGAACCCTGGTCCTGGTGGCACAGTGAGTTAGGCATTTGGTTGTTAACTGAAAGGTCAAAAGTTCAAACCCACCAGTTGTTCTATGAGAGAAAGATGAGGCAGTCTGCTCCTATAAAGATTGACAGCCCCATGGAAACCTAGGGAGCAGTTCTGTTCTGTCCTGTTGGTTTGCCTATGAGTCAGAATTGACTTGGTGGCAGTGGGTTTTGTTTTTGTTTTTTTAAAAGAAAAGGAGCCATGGTCGCACAGTGGTTAAGCATTGCATTGCTAACCATAAGGTTGGCGGTTGAGCCCACCAGATTCCTAGGGAGAAAGATAAGACTGCTTGCTCCTGTAACTATTCACAGTGTCAAACCGTAGAGATCAGTACTGCTCTGTCCTACAGTCACTATGAGTTGGAATTCACTGATAGCTGTGGTTTGTGGGTGAGGAACTAAGAAAACAGAAGCTTGAAAGAATTGTCCAGAATTGAGCCTTTATTGTTCCAGGAAGACACCTAGGAGTCACTGTGCCTGTTGGGTGCTCAGACCTCATTCTTAAGCTCTAATAATCCTAAAAACAATAAGTAATCTTCCAGTGCTTACCATGGGCGAGGTATTTTATGTGTGGCATCATTTGATCATTACAAGCCTTCCCCATGAGGAGGATACTTCCATTATGCCAGTTTCACAGATGGGAACACAGAGGCCAAGTCAGCTGCCTTCCTGCCAGGCTTTCCCAAGCCATGGTACTCTTCCCCAGGAAAAGCCTATCTCTCTGTGATGGATACCGTCATTCATGCCATAGGCATTAGTGGGGGCCACTCTGAGCCTAACCTTGAGCCCAGCTTTGAGAGGACAGAGGTGACTGTGGTACTGCATGTGCCCCCAGGGACATGCAGTCAGGAGGTGGGAAAGTTGCTGCCCTGAGTTGCAGTCCTAAGAAATGAGAGAACATGCAATAACTACAGAGGATGCCATGTTGGGGGTCTGTCCTGCGTGGGCCCTGCCCTGTCCAGGGGGTAGGGGAGGTCATTACTGGGGTGAGGCTGGTGTGCACACAAAATGCCTGGTGGGCTGAAACTAGTAGGCGGGGAGCCCATGGTGGGAGGTGCCTGGGTAGGGGTCTTGGAAATGCAGTGTTAGGCAACGAGCTGATGACTTCTTTTTTTCTGTCTTCTGAAGGATAATTATCCGCTTTTTCCCCCTGGAGCCATGGCAGATTGGCAAGAAGGGGACAGTCATGACTTTCTTATGATTGACATGGAGGGTGTCCAGGGCACGTGAGCTTACTGCGCCCTCCAGAGCAGCCTCCCAACAAAGTGAAGGCCTGGTATGGTGGGTACAAGCTTTTGGCACCCTCTCATGTATATATGCCATGAGTATTGCTATTCCCCATATCAAATAAATGAACAGAGATCATCCTCCTCAAGTGTGACTGCTTTACCTCTGCATCCCCAGCATCCTGGACTTTCCTGGGCAGTGGGTTTGGTTTATGAGGAGGGCGCTGTAGGGAGCCTGGGAGGTAGGATCTTTCTTGTATTCAGAGTGACTGTACTTCATGTAAATCAGTTGCTCAAATCTAAGGGTAGAAGGCTTGGTGAGGATGCCTGGTGCTTGTACCCTGTGCAGGACTTGGGGGAGGGACCAGCCGCTGGTCCAGCCTGTGCCTTCCTGTAGACTTTGCTGACCAGATGTGTCTGACCTCAGCCTGCGGTGGCCTCGGTGGTGCCCCACATCCTGCTGTGCCTGATAGAAGAGTACAAAGACTTTTCCCTTGGCATCTCTGAGCACCACCTTCTCCCCTGACTTGTACTGAGGCTCCTTGTCAAACCCGTGTCCCAGATGCTAAACCTGGAAATGCAATGTCTGCCACTAGAAACGTGGATGGATCTCCATTTCCCATCTAAACACTGTCTCTTAGTCCCCCATTTCAGAGTACAGATGAGCTGGGGATGGGAGTAGCTTTCTCCATGTTTTGGAGTCCTGGAGTGGCACTGTAGGTTAATGCGCCAGACTGCAAAGCCGTTTGAACTGCAAGGTTGGCGGTTCACGCTCACCAGCTGCTCCTTGGAAATCCTATTCAGGGTTGCTATGGGTCGGAACCGACACTACGGCACTTAACAACAACAACTCCATGTTTTGGATGCTGAGTTTACATGTGTGACCATCTGGACACTGGGGGGGGGGGGGCACTGTGTCTCCCTGGAATTAAAGGTCTGCTGATCCTTGTCTTCAGCATACTAGTGGAATACTGAGTTAAGATCTTCAGTCCAGTCTATATAGTGTTTTAATATAAAGTGCAATGAAATATGCCTGTGTTTCCTGTTTCTACCTGACCACACTTTTACTAGGGCTGTTATAAAATTTAGACAGTGAAATTCCTACCCCTGGTTCCCTGGCTCTGACTGGTTTCTGTACCGATTTCTTTTCTACTATCATGTTTCAGGGGCCTCCTGCTTCCTGAAAGGGTTGAGAGGATGTTTTGGTGGGTTGAATGTAAATGAATGGGTGAGTGTCCAAGGATGGGATGCGGAACTGATCCTTGCGGAAGCCATAATGCAACAGTTTCCTATCTGGGCTCCCTGTCTTCAATCTGCCATCCCCACTTGAGTCAGAGTGATAGGTCATCTGCTTGCCTTATGACTTCCCCTCCCATCTCTCCAGCTCTCCACTGTCGCCTGAGCTTTGATAGTATAGTTGACTCTTGAATAAATAACTCAATGGAAAAGTTAATGGAGAGATGAACTGTTTACACAGAGATGATTGTTACACAACATTTTTAAAGGGATGCTCTTTTTAAGGAGATATTTACAATCCTTGAACTCACTGCAATAGCAACAGGAAAAGAAACCCAAGGATAAGTAGGCCCACACAATTCAGAGCCCCTGTCCTAGGGTCAACTGTGTTGTGCTACTGAGGGCTCCTGCGGGATACACAATGACCACTCCCTCTTGTTTGGACTGCTCTTCTTACCTTTTCCCAACTGTTTCATTCCTGCCCAAGCTATAACTTAGGGGTGGGAGCTACATGCAAGACTGCCAGCTACTCATGCACCTTTGAAACCATCTGTTTATGTTCCTGGTTCCCACACCCTATGTCCCTCCAAGGTTATACCCTTCTAGGTTGGTGCTCAGTTGTTTTGTAGCTCCTGGTCTATCAATAAAGCTTTATTGTACTGAACTGGCTCTTTTATTCTTGAAAATTTTACTATTTAAATAACAACAAAGAGAAATCTATCCCATTCATTTCTATTAAAACAGCATCATGGGCCTCAAACACCTATGAATCCAAACACAGGTGAAACCCTTCTCTGAAACACTTTATTAGTCCTGATCTGGCGCTGTAGGACAAGCACTGGAATGCTAACTGAAAGATCAGCAATTCAAACTCACCAGCTACTTGGAAAACCTACACAGGGTCTCTGAATCAGAACCAACTTGACATCACTTAACAGTAACCTCTGGGTCTGAGACTTGTCAAGAAATCCTTCAATGATAAAAGCTTTTATTTTTTTCAAGTCTAAAACTTAGGCTGCTAACCTAAAAGTTGGCAGTTAGAACCCTGAACTGTTCGGAGGGAGAGTGCTTCTGTAAAGACTGACAGCCTCAGAAACCCTAAGGGGTACAGTTACACTCTGTCCTATAGGCTAATTGCCGTTGAGTCGGTTTTGACCCACAGCGACCCTGTGTAGGTTTTCTGAGGAGCGACTGGTGAACTTGAACTGCCGACTTTATGGTTCAAATCGAGGGTCGCTGTTAAGTTGTAACCCACTTTCTGCACTTAACTCTGTTTTAAGGATTCTTGGTGGTGAAGTGGGTTAAATGTTGGACTGCTAACTGAAAGGTTGCCAGTGGAACCCACAAGCTGCTGGGAGGAAGACCAGGCAGTCTGCTTCTATAAAGATTTACAGCCTCAAAAGTCCTAAGGGGCAGTTCTACTCTGTCCTCTATAGGGTCACTATGATACAGTATCGGGTTGACGACAGTTAAGTTTGGACCCCAATCCACCCCAGTCATTTACCGGATCATATTATTACATTTGTTTCAACAATATGATGAATCTGTGCCTCTTGGCTTCAGAGCCTTCTCAGAAGGGAGAATATGACAAAACGGGGCGCCCTCTAAGTGTCCCCTCAGCATATCTGTCTTTCGAGTAGGCAGTAACCATAGAACGCGTAGTCTCTTAGTGACTGCTCCGGCCTGGGCACTGAGCTTCACGCCTCATAAACAGTACAAGCTGTAGAAACCCTCGGCGGCCCCAAAAACGCGAGCCACGAGAGCCAGACCACGGAACCAAGAAATACTAGGCCCCGCGGAGGGGCCGGACTAGACGACCGCGGAACCCTTGCTGATTGGCCAGCGGAACTCGCGCAGGAGCCAATAGGAGCATGCTTTGTTGTGAGGCGCGCAGCTCCCCAGCGCGGGGGTCGGCTACCTGAGCTGTTGCTGTGGAGATACTGGGTGAGTTCTCTGACTGCAAGTTCGGGGTCGGCCAGAGAGTGGGGGCTAAGCTCACCCGGGGCGGAGGTCTGGGGTGGAGGTGCGGCCCTGAGGGATGGCCTGCGCTGGGCCTAGAACAGTCTCTGGCCACAGTCTGGGAAACTGAGGTCGCTGACAGGAGCGACGGGGCCAAGTCTCCCTGCAGTCGCGCCATCCTAGGGACGGAGGACTGGCGACGACCCCAGAATTCGGGGTTTGACGATGCAAAACTTAGCTTACACCCTTTTTCTTCACCATTCTGCAGCCCTTTGAGATGAATGTTGGATTAGTGACAGTTACAGGGGAGAAGGAGCCTTGGTGGTGCAGTGGGGTTAGGCAGCTAACCGCAAGATCGGCGCTTCAAACCCACTAGCCTCTCCTTGGGACAACATGACAAGTCTGCTTCCGTAAAGATGTACAGCCTTGGAAACCCTATGGAGCAGTTCTCCCATACTGTAGGGTTGCTATGAGTTGGAATCGACTCAGTGGTCGTGGGTTTTGCTGTTTTGGTAAGATTGTATGTTATAGCATTTATGGTGCGACGCTATGCACAACAGAACAAATGCTGCCTGGTCCTGGCCATCCTCGCGATTGTTATAATTGAGCTCATTGGTGCCGCTGTGCGTCAGTCCATCTTTTTGAGGGTCTTCCCCTTTCTCGCTGACCCTCTACTTATCAAGCACAATGTCCTTATCCAGGGACTGGGCCTTCTTGAGAGCATGTCGCGTTGTTGTTCTTCATTCTTGCATACATTGTCTGCCTTTACCTTGGTCATGTTGTGCTGACTTCTCCCTATTCTGTATTACCTTTCTTTTCACCATAGTTAACACTTGGAGTCCCGGTGTGGTGCTACAGGATAATGTGTTGAACCACACGGTCGGTTTGAACCTTAAGGCCTGCTGTTCAAACTCACCAGCATATCCTCGAAAACCCTAAACAGGGTTGCAATGAGTTGGAACCAACAACTTGAGGAACTTAACAACTGTAGAGCTGTAGGATAAGCACATGACTGCTAACCACAAGGTCAGTGGTTTAAACCCACCAGCTGTTCCTTGAACCCCTGTACAGGGTTGCTATGGGTCTGAACTGACTCCAGGCACTAAACAACTATCCAGGTACTGAATCTCTCTTCCTTCCCCTCCCACTCCTGTTATTGTAGTTAAATGTCAATAAGTTGGTTTTGAGGTATAGGGTTTTCGAGGCGTGATTGGTGAGCTTGAACCACCGACCTTATGGTTCAAACCAACTTTGCAGTCCAGTGCACTAGCCCAAAGCTACTCCAGGACTCCCACTTCTGCTGACCATTATATAATGCTGCTTTTTGTGTGCAAACTTATCCTTGACTTTCTATAATGGTGATCACATAAAATACTTGACCTTTTGTGATTAACTGATTTCACTCAGCATGAGGCTTTCTGTTCTGATAAAGGTTTATAGCCTCAGAAACCCTGTACAGGGTCTCTATGAGTCAGAACCTACTCCACAGCACATAACAACAACAACAACAACGTCCTCCAGGTTCATCCATATTAGGAGGTATTTTGCAGATTCATCATTATTCTTCAGTGTTGCATAGTATTCCATTGTATGCATGTACCAAAGTTTAACCATTTTTTTGTTTTTAGATTGTCTACATCTTTTTGTTATTGTGCATAGTGCTGCAGTAAGCATGAGTGTATGTATTTATTTGTGCCAAGGCCTTCATTTCTTGAAAATATATACCAAGTAGAGGGGTTACTGGGTTATATGGTATTTTTATTCCCAGCTTTTTGAGGAGGCGCCAAACTGTTTTCCACAATGGTTGCACAATTTTATAATCTTACCAGCAGTGTTGGAGGGTCTCAGTTTCTCCACATCCTTGCCAGCATCTGTTTTTTTTGGGTTTTTTTGAGCTTTGTTATCAGTGCTAGGGTAAGATGATACCTCGTTTTGATTTGCAATCTCTCTAATGGCTAATGGAAGGAGCTCTGGTTAGCATAGTGGTTATAAGTCAGGCTGCTAACCTCAAGGACAGTAGTTTGAAACTACCAACCGTTCTGTGGAAGAAAGATGAGGCTTTCTGCTCTCATAAAGATTTACAGTCTCTGAAACCCTATGCAAGGCCCCTCTGAGTTGGAACTGACTCCATGGCACATCACCACCACCACCAATGCCTAGTGGAATCCTGGTGTGGCACTGTGTGATAAAGAACTGGACCACAGGGTTGGTTTGAATCACAGGGTCGGTGGTTCAAACTCATCAGTCGCTCTTTAGAAACCCTATACGGGGACTTCTATGAGTTGCATCTGACTTGATGGCACTTAACAACAACAACGATGGCATGGCTGATGATCATGAGCATTTCTTCATATAATTGTTGGCCACCCGAATGTCTTCTTTAGTGAAGTGTCTGTTCATATACTTTGCCCATTTTTAAATTGAATTATTTGTTGTTTCCTTGTTGAGGTGTTGCATTGTTCTACAAATTTTAGAGATTAGTCCCTTGTCTGATATGTCATTGCCAAAAAAATTTCCCGTCTCTTCTTAATCTTTTGGGGAAATCTTTTGATTCACATAAATGTCTTCATTTTTAGGAAATTTCTGTCATCTATTTTGTTTTCTGCTCATTGTATGTTGTCAGTTATGCTTGAGTATATTTATACCATGTGTCAGAGCCCTTAAGTTTATCCCCATTAATTATTTTTATGGTTCTAGGTATCACATGTAGGTCTTAAATCCACATTGAATTAGGTGTTTTTTTTTTAAGTTTTTATTATGAATTGAATGATAGTTTACATGGTGGAGAACATTGGTTTTACACTCATCATTTCATTGTAATGATTACAGTCTCCTCCGTGCATCATCATTCAACAGTATTTGCTTCTATTCCCTCTGGTTTTGGGGGTGGGGTGGGGTGGGAGATGTACACAGAAACACTCAGGAATATATAATCATTTAAACAACCAAAGGGCACATTCTACAAGCCTGCCTCTTGGCCGCCAGCACACAGCCTTTCTCTTTCCATGAGTCTAGAGTCTGCAGCTGCTATATCTCTCCATGCCCTCATCTCTGCCTCCATCTCTGGTGTCGATGCTTCTCTGGATAGGGCCCCATATACCTCTCATGCGCTTCTCCCTTGATGATCCTAAGGTCCTCTCCTGGTCTGTAAGATGAACTACTCCCCCCTTTATGTAACAAAACTTCTATCTTTACAGTTGTGACAGTGGCAATTAGTCATGATAACAATTGCTCACTATTGAATCATAAGAATCTTGTCCCCATCTCCTTTCATCAGACTGGTCTAGACAAGATGAAAACTATTCAGTGGGGATTTTACCTTCCCCCGCACACTCTGAAACTAAACTCTCTCTTGAAAACTTGTAAGCCAGTCATTTCATGCCTTTATGCCCCACCTTCCCCCCCATTTTAGGTAGCCAATGTCTCAGTTGCCTGCCCCTATTAACCCTGTATACAGAGGGGATACGATTGATCCTTGATGTGAAGATTCCTTCCCTCTCAGTTGGTATTTTGAGCTACTACATCCATAAGTATAGGTAAAGTTCATCAAATTGTAGTGTAGCAATTTACACTTACTTCCTTTATCAAAAAAAAAATTTTTTTTTTTTTAAATTTTCCTTTAGTTGAGTTCTGATCATCAATCCATCGAAGCTAGGTTGGATGGGTACTATGTGCAAGTTTGGGCGTTCTTGTGCATTTCCCCTTACTTCATATCAGCTGGATGCTCTGAATTAGTTTGAATATTGTTGTTGTCAGGTGCCATCGAGTTGGAACTGACTCATAGTGACCCCATGCACAGCAGAACGAAACAATGTCCGATCCTGGGCCAACCTCACTACCGCCACACTTGA